TGACCTGTCCGTCCTCCCTGGACTGACCTATCTCCTCTCTACCTCCCCACCTACACTCAGCTTTACTGGCTCCATCCCCGCCTCTTTGACCAGTCTGTTTCCTCTCCACCTATCTTCTCCTCTATCCATCTTCTATCCGCCTCCCCCTCTCTCCCTATTTATTTCAGATCCCGCTTCCCCTCCCCCATTTCTGAAGAAGGGTCTAGGCCCGAAACGTCAGCCTTCCTGCTCCTCTGATGCTGCTTGGCCTGCTGTGTTCATCCAGCTCTACACCTTGTATATCTCAGATTCTCCAGCATCTGCAGTTCCTACTATTTCTGAATGAGTATTGATTGACTTGTTCTCTTTCTGTGTGCTTACAAAGGCTCCAAGGGCTATTGTGGTGCAGTGTAAGTGTCCCTAGCTCTGGGCCGGGAGGCTAGTGTTCAAGCCCAAACTGATGCAGAGGTGTGTACTAACATGTCTGAGCAGCTTGACTGGAATTTCTATACAGGAGCCTGGCTCACTTCAGCTGGGTGCAGTGGTTAATATCCTGGCTTGTCACACAGAAGTTTGGAGGTACAACGCTCTAAGGGAAAGAGGCTGCTTTCTGACAGGTTTCCTGATGATTTTCCCCTTTCAAGGGGCGGTTAACCCAAATCTGAAGTTGACTGGTTCAATTTCAGTGTAATTTTCAGCAGATTATTCAGCACAGAGGAGATACCTGAATGGGCTGCACCCCCCTTGTCCGCCTTCTTCTTGTCCACCATCCAGACAGTCTGTGGCAGCGGATAGCTGGTAAATGGGTAGGGGGGCACATCGGGGCAAATCTCTGATACGTTCCTGCAAGTCAGGGAACTTTTCCATGTATAGATTAGCTGCCTGCACTGTAGAAACATAAGACAATAGGAGCAGGAGTAGGCCATTCAGCCCTTCAAGCTTCCTCCTCCATTCAATATGATTCTGCAACTCAGTCCCCTGTTCCTGCTTTCTCCACATACTCTTTGATTCTCGTAGCCCTAAGAACTATATCTAACTGCTTTATGAAAACATTCAATGTTTTGGCTTCAACTGCTTTTCTGTGGCAGAGAATTCCACAGGCTCACCACTCTCTGGATGAAGAAATTTCTCCTCATCACAGTCTCCAATAGCTTACCCCATATCATTCAACTGTTATCCCTGGTTCTGGAATTCCAAGTCTTCTGGAAAATTTTTCCTGCATGTACCCTGTCCAGTCCTGTTAGAATTTTATAGGTTTCTATGAGATGCCCCTCATTCTTCTAAACTCCAGTGAATATGGTCCAAGCTGATGCAATCTCCCTACATACATCAATCCTGCCATCCCAGGAATTAGCCTGGCCTCCCTCCTTGAAGTGGGTAATCAATGAAGCTAATTACAAGGAAAAAAAAAACCATATTGGATGTGAGAAACCAACTCTGTTTCCCTCTCGGCAGATGTTGTCAGACCTGCTGTGTTCCTCCAGCACTTTCTGTTCTTATCGTGACTGATTGTGATCCCAAAGAAGTCTGGTTTTGAGGGCGCGCTGGTATTTTCTGTTGGGCAGAGGCTGGGAGCTCAATGGAGAGTACCACCTGTGTTCCCCACGCCCCTGCATCTCCTCCTCCACTACCGCTGAAGCAGGTGAGGGGTGTTGGAGGGGGTGAATGTGGACTATCGGAGCCAAAGTTTCAGGAATGGTCACCACCACCCAGCCTCCATAATACTCCCTCCACTGCAAGGAGCTCAATGCTTTGTCCATAAATTCAGTTTGAATGCATGCCCCTGAAGGAGTTTCGATATTGAGAGTTCTACTCCCTGCTGCCATGGCGATGCCCACCTCTCTCAAAGGTGTTGCCAGACTTGCTGGCTCTTTAGCTTTCCGCCTTTGGGCAAAGATTGTCTCTCTGGCAGTGAGAGGTTCAGCTCAGGACTCCTGTTTAGCGCTGATGTCAGGGCCCTGTGGGAAAAGCCAGCTTCCTGTGATTAAAAATAAAACAGCTCTCTGACATGATCGGCAGCGTGTTCGAGCTTGTTCCTGGCCCAGCACTCAGTGAACTCCAGTCTCTGTCAAACGAGCTCCACTACAGCAAGCTGCAGGTCTTCATCATTCTTGTGGGAAAGTCACAGGGCTACTGGATCAACCGTTGGCCATTTCACTGCCTAGTCTTAGGCAAGGAGCTTGTGTGCATCTACCCCAAAGAAAACAGCAAACTGCAAATTTTACTTCATACATACTTCTAGCTTCATTTTTGTTTCTTATTCATTCACAGGACGTGGGTGTTGCTGGCTGTGCCCAGCATTTATTGCCTGTCCCTAGTTGCCCTTGAGAAGGTGGTAGTGAGCTGCTGCAGTCCATACGCTGTAGGCTGACCCACAATGCCCCTGGGGAGGGAATCCAGAGGCACGAAAGGAATGCAACATATTTCCAAGTCAGGATGGTGAGTGGCTTGTAAGGGAACTTGCAAGTTGTGGTGTTCCCATGTATCCGTTTATCCTTCTAGATAGAAGTGGTTGTGACCTTGGATAGTACTGTCTAAGGAGTTTTGGTGAATTTTTGCAGTGCATCTTGCAGAGAGTACATACTGCTGCTACTGACTGTCAAGGTGGGGGTGGGGGTGGATGCTTGTGGATGTAGTGCCAATCAAGCGGGCTGCTTTGTCCTGGATGGTGTCAAGCCTCTTGAGTGTTGTTGGAGCTGCACTCATCCAGACAAGTGCAGAGTATTCCATCACACTCCTGACTTGTTCCTTGTAGATGGTAGACAGGCTTTGGGAAGTCAGGAGATGAGTTACTCACTGCAGCATTCTGTGTCTCTGACATGCTCTTGTAGCCATTGCGTTTGTATGGCTAGTCCATTCAGTTTCTGGTCGATGGTAAACCCCAGGATTTTGTTAGTGGAGAATCGAGCAATGGTAACATCATTGAACGTCATGGAGGAATGGTTAGATTTTCATTTATTGGAGATGGTAATTGCTTGGCGCATACTCACACTCTTCGCATGAGAAAAATCTGACAAATGTTGTTACTGAACCTCAGAGCATTTTTGAGGACACTTTGCTCTCCAACTTAATGGACGGTTAAAAAAAGGGAAAGAAAGACTTGCATTTCTATACAACCCTTCACAACTTCAGGGCTTCCCAAAGAGTTTGTCATCCAATGGAGTACTTTTGAATTGTGATCAATGTTGTCACGAGGGACAGATTAATTGAGGTGAGGGAATTCCATAGATTCTGACCTAAATAATTGATGTTATCACTAACAAAGGTGGCGTGCCAAACACAAGGGATCAGAATAGTATGATTGTAAAGAAATTAAGGGGAGAATTTACAGAGACAGAGAAGCATGAAGAGAAGGAGGCAGGAATGACACCTACGTTCTGTCTGTAAAAATGAACCCAAGCTTTTGGTTCCCTGGCCAACATCTCTGTCCCAAGTTTCTGCAGTGACCCAGTGAAACTCAGTGCAAGCTGGAAGAACAGCATCTCATTTTCCACTTGGGGACCCTGCAGTTTTCAGGACTCAATATCGAGTTCAATAACTTTAGACCCTGAACGCTTTTCTCTATGCCCTTTACCTCCACGACCCAAGCCCTGTCATGGCATGGGCTGCTTTCAGCACAGCCAACCCATTTTCACTTACTCATGGTCCCCATTACCAGCCTTTCTTCCTCCCTGGCTTACCATTATCCATCCATTTGTCTGTTGAATTAACTGGAAGTAAATAAACAGCACCTCATGTTTCAATTAGGCATTTAAAAGCCTTCTGCACTGAGACTGAGTTCAACAATTTTAGGTATCTCCTCAAATTGTTTCCTGTTCTGTGCAGGTTTTTGGTTTTATTCTTGCTTCTGTTTGCTTTTGGAAGGAATCTGCTTATCATTCTACCACTCCCTCCTCCTCGAGTCAAGCTCCTTGTTTCTTTTGGTCTCATTACCAATCCCTTTGGCGTTTTGCCACCAACTCTTCTGTTTAATCTCTCTCAACTGGCCCACCTATCACAAACATTTTGTGGCATGTGGGTTTCTTCCCACCCTAATCCCTCACCCAAAACCTAATATATTTTTAACTTTTCTCCATTCTGAGTAAAGATCATTGACCTATAGCTTTGACTGATGCTCTCCCCACAGATGCTGCCTGATGGGTTAGCCATTTTTGGCTATTCCTGTTAAAACTAAAAAGTTCTCACTTATTAGGCCTGGGTTATGTTAAATTTTCAAGCCCTGCTGATGTCAGGAATGTTAGTGGTTGTGGTTTTAATGATTATAAGGCCCCAGCCTGTCAGCTTCAGGGCTGGGAAAGGCTGCCCACAGCCACACGGCCTTCAGCTTCCTAATGCCTACCTGGTAGGCAAGTAGCAGACTGAGGGGCCAGAGATCCTGGCAGGCGGACAGATGCTCCCCTGCCCACCTGCAATATGGATCTACCCATAGGCCCTCATGCGTCCCACAACGACAAGCAACATACCTCAGAGGTCTCTCATTGGCTTCAAACACGGATGTGCAAAGCTCCATACAAATTCAAGCCTCTTTTTTAACCCTGTTTTGCAGAGATTGCCATGGTGGCCAGACTGGTTTTATTTTTCGGTGTGTGTTTTTAAAAGAGTGGCTGAGAGTGTGCCTTCCGTAATGAAATGCCCTCTGTCACTCAGTTAGTAGGGAATAATGCTTAGGACCTGGAAACACTAACTGTGTTTCTTTGTTTTTCTATACTTTAGTAAGAAGGACTGTAATGGTTAGCTTCTTAACTTGCTTTCTTTATCTTTCTGCTTTGTACTAAGATTCTGTGCCTAGGTATATCTGACCTAAGATGGCGCCGTAAGTGGCAGCTTGTAAACTTTTCATGGTCCTCATGCGAGTGAGTACATGTGACAATAAAAGCTAATTCTAATTCTAGCAGCTCCTGAAGTCAATATGTAGCCTCGCAATATCTAAATCACAATGCAGATCCTCAATTCTAGTTGAGAGTTGTAAAGTATAATACAATGAATACTAACAATCATAAAAATGGTTTAATCAGTTCCTCAAAAAAAACCTTTTTAATTAATCTTCATCATATTTAGGTTCAAATTAAAATCATGAAAGTCATTGGCAGGTCATTCAAATCCCAACATACCTGTCCAGCACAAAGGACAAAGAGTCCCAGTGCACAAAATGCAAGTGAGATGGATTATCCTCTCCCCCTGCTATCTTATATGCACTTGGAAGAATAGGCAGAGTTTGTCTTTCTTGGATAATTTCACTCCTTCACCAGTTTGCAGAGACATTTTTGGGAATGACTAGTATCCACTTTAATCTGGTTTCCTTTTTCTCTGACTGCGTGTTCCACAGAAACATCTCCTGCAGCAGTAACGGCAACACTTAACCAGTAGCCACACAGCGAGCAGCTCAGTGACCAGGAGCACACTGATCACATCCAGGCTGTGATACTGGATGAAGTTCAGCTCGTGAGCTGCAGCACGTAAATGCTCTGCCCCTTTGTGCCTCATCACAAATTCCACCCAATGGACAGAGAGCTCCAATGGATGGAGGGCGCGGTCCTTGTGCAGTGAAGACAGTGTCATCATGGCTTCTCTGTATCTAAGGCAGGAAAAGAAAGACAAGATTAATTGCAACTTGGCAGGAACATGGTGAGAGCGTGACGGGTGAACTACAGGTAGAGAAATAATGAAGGAGAGAAAACTGTAACCACTTGTCCTTCTGGACTTGGTCATGCTGAAAAGATGTTTCTCGGCATGCAGTTTTCAGGAAGCACAGTTCCTGCTGAACAGGGTCACTTATTTCAGATAAAGACAAACAAGAATTTCTTCGAAATTCTCTACTCTCGAGTGCTTTGGAGACTGGAATGAAGATGGTCTGCCTTCAACAATTTTACTGATGCTGCAACGCTTTAGTTCTCATTTTCAATGTAAGGATCTGGACCTGGGTATCATGCCATTGAAGAATTCAACAGAAGTTTATTACAGCTAGCTATTATATATAAATATTACATTCACAGGCACACCAGTGTCTTGGCTAACATTAAGCTATTATTTATGGTGCAGATTGAGGCTGTTCGGCCCATTGTATCCATGCTGGTCAACAAACAGCTGACTACACTCATCCCGTTTTCCAGCTTTGGGCTCATATCCTTGGAGCCGATGGCAACACAAATGAATATGCAAATTCTGCTGAAATATTACAAGAGTTTCTGAGTCAACCACACTCTCATCCAGTTCCGGATGCCCACACCCTTTGGGTAAAAATATTTCTCTTAGATTCTCCTCTTACCTGAAATCTTTCCCCCCCCCACCCCGCCGATTATTTACACCTCTTCTAATTGAAAAGAGCCTTCCTATCCATGCCCCTCATAATCTTATACACTTCCATCAGGTCCCCTCTCAACATTCACCACTCCAACATAAACAAACCCAGGGTCTCCAATATTTTCTCAAAGGTCTCAGAACCTCCAATCCAGACACCATCTTGGTAAATCTCCTTTGCACCCTCTGTAGGTCAATTAGATCCTTCCTATCATATGGTGACCATAATTTGGGAGGTGATGGCCCAGTGGTATTATCGCTAGACTATTAAATCCAAAACTCAACTAATATTCTGGGGACCCAGGTTCCAATCCTGCCAAAGCAGATAGTGGAATTTGAATACAGTAATAATCTGTAATCATGAAACCATTGTCTATTGTCAGAAAAAAAAATCTGGTTCACTAATGTCTTTTAAGGAAAGGAAAGGAAATCTCCCATCCTTACCTGGTTTGGTGTACGTGTGATTCAAGACCCCACAGCAGTGTGGTTGACTCTCAACTGCCCTCTGAAATGGACTAGCAACTCACCCAGTTCAAAGGCAACTAGAGACAGGCAATAAATGCTGGCGTAGCCAGTGATGCCCATGTTCTACAGGTGAGTAGAAGAAAATAAGGTGTCGCCTTTTTGGATGAGATGTTAAGCCAAGACCCTATCTGCCTCTTCGGGATTCTAGTGTGCAGGATTATTTCACCCTCAAAAAGCATCACGTTAAAAACAGAGGAACTCGTCATCATCACTTTGCTGGTCATGGGTGCTTGTTATGCACAAATTGGCAGCTGTGTTTCCTGTGTGACAGGTTACCATGGGGGGCTTCATAAGTGCATCATTAGCTCTAAAGTGATCCGGGATATTCTGAGGTCAGAACTGGCCCTATGTACATGCTGATTGTTTATCCAAAGTCCAATACTGGATTGGCAGAAATTTCCTCCAAGTAAATATGGAGAAGATCAAAGCCTTGTCTTTGCCCCCTCTGAACACTATTCCAATGCTCTCTCTCCAACTGCCCGAAGTTGAACCAGACTGATCACAATCTTGGTGTTACATTTGTTTTTGGGATTAGCTTGGACCATATACCTTTGCTAAGATGGCAAAGACAACCTACCTCCTCCCCTAATGTCACCCACCTTCATCCATGTCACATTTCACCTCAGGTTGAAGCCCTCATCCATGCCTTGGTTAACTCTAGCCTTGCTAGACATTCCACTCTGCAACTTGAACTCAAACACAGCTCTTGCTCCCTGCAGCCTAACATGCAGCAAGTGCCATTCCCCGATCACTCCTGTGCTCACTGACTGACATTAGTTTCCAGTCAAGCAACATCTTGAAAATTCTCATCCTGGTTTTCAAATCTCTCCCTGGCATCACGAATCTCTTGAAGGCGCACAACTCTCCAAGATCTTTGCAGCCCTCTAATTCTCTTGTGCGTCTCCGATTGGCCATTGGCCTTCAGTTGCCTATGCCTTCAGCTCTGAAATTCCCACCCTATACCTCTCACCTCCTCTGCCTTGTTGTCCTCCTATAAAACATTAACATCCACCAACATTTGCTTACCTTTTCCAATATATCTTTGCGTGGCTCAGCTGATTTATATTTTCTGACACTCCTGTGAGGTGTCAGGGGATGTTTTATCAAGTGAAAGAAGCTCTGTAAACTCAGGTTGTTGTTGGGGATCGGTCTTACGCTAAGAATAGTATAATTAATTTTACTGACCTGGTATCATTGATAACTGTGTTTAATGCATTGACTAGATCATCGGAACTCATTTGTTCTATGTCTAGGTTAATCCCAGCACCACGGTTGACTATTTGATTGACATTATATCCTTGATCTCCATATAATGGTAACATGACAGATGGTACACCACTGCAGATAGCCTCATAGAGCCCATTCGTTCCTCCATGCGTGATGAAGGCTTGTGTTTTGGGATGTCCTGGTGCACAGGAGAGGGAAACAGAAATTGAACACTTGCTCAATCGTTTTCAATAATTGCATCAAAACTTCTTTGGATCAGGAACTCACCGGAGAAAAACATGAGTCAATTTGACCAGCACTTTCCCAATTTATGAACCCCATGGAGAGTCTAAAACCAGGCAGCTAATTGGTTTATTTTCCCCTTTCAACAGCCTCGTGTATTGAAAGGAGATGGTGAACTACATGAACCTTATGTCCCAGTTGGAACTGAATGGCTGTGAATCATTGCAAAGGAAAGGCAAGTTGGACAGTCTACAAACAAGCTCAGAAAGTGCTGGAGAAACTCAACAGATCTGGCAGCTTTTATGCAGAGAGAAACAGTCTACATCCCAGCACTTGCAGACGAATGCCCAATTGAGATTGATTGTGACTGCAATGTGAGATACTCTGGGTTAACATCCTAAATCAGAAATTTGTGGGTTTAGATCCCAATCTCAAGACTTGACCATAAAATCCTCACTTGGAAGCACCATCTTTCAAACAACACACCAAACGAAAGCTCTCTCAGGTGAAAACTTGTCTGGGAGATCCCAGGCACCAGTTCCAAAAAGCAGGGAAGTTCTACTCACTGTTTATTCCTCCATCTACATCATCGAACAATAAAATGGTCTAGTCATCACTGTTTCAGTATCACTAAGAAAATATGCAAACAGAGTGTAAAGTTGCATGTGACCAGCAGATCACATCCCTACTTGTGGGATCTTGCTGTGCACAAATTAGCTACCACATTTCCAAAAATGACAATTACAACGGGACGTAGTCAAACACTTGACTGTTGGTATCATTGGCAAGCTCCAATACAAGCCACAGATAGCAGGAACTGCAGATGCTGGAAAATCTGAGATAACAAGATGTAGAGCTGGATGAACAC